ATTTTGAGTTCATGTTTGGACACACAATGCCTACATTCACTGGCAGTACTCCGTATGCGCACATGACCCATCTTAAATCTTTCTTGTGCCTTTCCCCTCCCTGCCCCCCACACTCAGTCTCAGTCCCCTGACCATTTGCAATGACCTATGGTGCTTTTTCTTTTTGTCAATCGTTTATTCTGCTCTTTTTTCATACTTTGAATTTCTCATATGAGAGAAACAATATGGTATTTAATATTATGTGTCTAATTTACTTCATTTACATTTTGTTTTAAAGATGTATCCATTTTCTATAAATGTCTCTGATTTACTCTTCTTTATAGCTGAGTAGTAGTGCATTCTGTTTAGCTACATTTTCTTTATCCATTCCTCTATTGATAGAGACATAGGCCACTTCCAAGATTAGCTATTAGCATTGCACTGGTATAAACTTTGGTATGCATCTTAGTTACTTTTCTCACTGCTGAGACAGAATACCTGACACCCAAAGATAAAGGAGGAAATGTTTCTGTAGCTCACAGTTTTTAAAGGTTTCAGTCCATGATCGGCTGGTTCAAGGTAGGGTGGAATGGCAGAGGAACACTACAGTGGAGAAAAATTCATGGCAGGCAGAAGGCAACAAACCAGCAAGCAAAGTGACCAGCAATGACAATGGAAGCTCTTTCTGTCCCCTAGGGTGGTTAGCACTCACACTCTTAATCCTAGCATCACCCCGTGAATCAAGCCCAGCGCCACACCCCTGATCCTAGCAGGGAATCACAACCTTGATTCAGCCACCTCTGAAAAACCCCACCTATGACCACATGAGGCTATGGGGGTCATCTACACACAAGACATAATAGTATGCATGCATCGCTATTACTATTAACTCTTGGAAAGATACCTAGAAGGGGAATAGTTAGGTCCAATGGAATTTCTCTTGTAGTGTTTTGAGAAATTTCCATACTGATTTCCACAATGCTTGTACTAGTTTACATTCCCAACAGCAATATAGCAAGGCTCCTTTTCCACTTGATCTTAGTCAAAAGGCTGAGAAGCGATACAGGGCTCCTTTTTCACTGCAGCCTCAGCAGCATTTGTTACCACTGTATTTGATTTCTTCATGATTGCCATTCTTTCTGGCGTAAGAGGAAATCTTAGGGTTGTTTTCATTTGCATTTCTCCAGTGCCCAGTGAAGCTGGACATTGTTTCATGTATTTATGGCCCATTTCTACTTCTTCTTCTGAGAAGTGTCTAATCATTTCCACTGCCCATTTCTCATTGGGTCTTTTCTTTTGGAGGGGGGGTCTACTTTTCTTTTTTAATTTAATTTAATTTAATTT